TCTCTCTCTCTCTCTCTCTCTCTCTCTCTCTCTCTCTCTCTCTCTCTCTCTCTCTCTCTCTCTCGAGAAAAACAGCGAGCAGTAATGTCTTCTCCGCTCCCACACTACCGTAACTCCTCTTCTACTCCCACGCTACTGCCGCCGTTCTACCTGGCAATCGCCACGGCCAGGGGAGCAGAGCGAGACCCAGGACACACGCAGAAGTGTCGAACCCCCAGCCGCACCAGCTCCTCCACCACGAGGGCGCCCCAGAGGGAGTTAACGTTGGGCATTTCACGGAGCCCCCTCGCCGGCCGCGCGGGGAACAGCGACAGAAAATTCTTCATCTGCCACAGGAAATAGCCACAGTCGATTTTGGCGGTGTCAAGAGATGAAACCAGGGGTTGATGCGTTCGTCTGCCATAGGCATGAGTGCATGTCATGGTCGTTGTTTGCGGTTTCAAGGAGAGATGCTCGGTAAGTGCACGCGTGTCCGGGCGTGCGGGTGTGGTGCGTCCGAGAGGGGTCGGCCGGTCAAGGTGGATGAGGGGGCGACAAGAGGACAATCGCAATCGCAAGCGCAGGCACACGCGCAAGCACGAGCGCATCCAAACCCCCAAGCGCCGAGCAAGTATCCGAATCATCACCGAGACAGCTAGGCATGGTATGTGTCCATCCCCCCCCTCCCCCTCCCTTTCTTCCTCCTCCTCCCCCCTCCCCTCCTCTGACGCACCTTAACCCCAGTCTCCGCCCACTCCGAAAGAGCAACCGACCCGGGCACGATCCCAGCGCCAGCAAACAGCGTCATCTCAGACCCGCCCCCCGCGCCCCTTCCCGCGGGGCCCCCGGCGGAGCACAGACCGCCCCCTCGCCGTGAAAACCCCTCGGGAGAGCTCCATGAATCTGTGACCAGAGCGCTGCGGATGGCCACGCCGAATTCGCTAGCCCCGGCGGAGATGTATCCCACCGGACCGGCGTAGAAACCCCTGTGAGAGAAAAAATGGGCGAGGCGTGGGGGGGCGTGGGGCGGGGGGAGGGG